GGGGCCGGGGAGATGGCTCAGTGGAATAAGTGCTTCCCTGGCAAGCGCAAGGGCCTGAGTTCAATCCCCAGTTCCGCAAAAAAAAAAAAAAAGATTGTGTTACACAGTCCAGGCTGGCCTCAAACTTTCGGTGATCCTCCTGCCTCAGCCTCCCCAAGTGCTGGGATTACAGGTGTGGGCCATCACACCTGCTTGCTTTATTTTCAAATTTAAGTGTCTGGGGCTAAAATTCTATTCTCCCAATATACACACAGACTACAGTTTGCTTGTATACTTGGATATAATTGTTAGGTTTGGGATTCTTTTGGGATTTTACAAAGGATGATTTAATCTACACTCTATATAGAAACTTCCTCTTAGGGTGTGATGTATCAGTGAAGGCATGTTTGTGCAGCATTTAGAGGTACTGGAGTTTAGAAATCTAGAGTTTATAGGAAACAGTCCAGTGAAGTCAATGTGTTTACTTTCTTACAAGCTTCCTCTGTTTTTGTTTTTTAAATTGTATTTATTTGTGTGTGTGTGTGTGTGTGTGTGTGGCCAGCTCAGCCCACCAGGGGGCGGGGCTGGCTGGCATGTGGTGCTGGGGGATTGAACCGTGGTCCCTGATGCTTTGCTAAGCTTGTTCTAAGTAGGTGCTTTAGACCACTGAGCCATCTCACCAGCCCCATAAGCTTCCTTTGGGTGTACTATTTACTGCTCTTTGGTTTATTTATCAGGACCTTGCAGGTTGGTGCCTGCCTGACTGGTGAGGGAAGCTTGGCATGCTGAGGCTGAGGCAGGAGGATCACCATGAGTTTGAAGCTAGCCTGGGCCACATAATGAATTTCAGTCTAGTACATAGTGACACCCTGTCTCAACAAAACAAAAACAAAAAAGAAACAAAAGAAAGAAAACTAGGAGGAAGCTGCTTCCTCTCTGGGGATGAGGAGGGTCTGGCCCCTGAAAACTGGACCAGAGCCCCTAGGGAGCCTGTGGTTCTGGTAGCTGGAAACTCGTCAGTGTACTAAGCATCAAGGTCAGACAGGAGGGGCAGAGGCAGGGGTAGCAAAGGAGGTCTGACTTTGATACAGGCTGCAAAGCTTCTGGATTGTGACCTTTTCCTCTTTTCCACCGCCAAGTCTTTGTTTTTTCTCCAAGTCTTTGTTTTCTTTTTCTCCTCTTATCCTCTTCACCTGGATACCTGGGAGCCAGCCTGGCCTTTCTTGAGGATACAGTCTACTTTCTGACCAGAGCTCAAGCTAGGACCACTGCCAGCCTTTTGGGGGGTTGTACTTAGAAACTGGGTAAAGTGTAAGAAATTGCAGCCGGAAGTGTAAGAAACTGGTGGCCACAAGCTGAGAGATCAGCCTCAGCTATCTGGGGAGACCCATGGAGTCACTTTGTGAGCAAAGGTGTGTCTTCCTCCTGCTTAAGCACAGTGCAGCTCCTCATGACGTGCTTCAGCCCGCTAGAAGGGTCTCTGGTCTTTTGCTTCTCTCTCTGAAGTACCCCAGTACCTTCAGGATAGACTGTGGCTCTCAAAATGGCCCCTGAGGCTTAGCCCTGGCTTGGCTCCCTTGGCTGAGCTCCCCTCACACTCTCCTTCCCCAACAAGGCTCGCTGTTGCTTTTCTTGCAACACCTTCTGCCCAGTCAAGACCAGGCTCCAGCCTTAAAGCTTTCCCATGTTGGGTGGTTCTCCCTGGGCTTCTTTCTCTCTTTACACATCCCGTGTTGGGATCAATGCCACTATGTTTTGTTTCCTTGAGACAAAGTCTTGCTGTATATCCTAAAACTCACTATGTAATTCAGGCTGGCCTTGAATTTGTAGTGATCCTCCTGTCCTGCCTTCTGAGTGCTGGGATTACAGACTTGTGCCACTACACCCAGAATGAATTTTTTTTTTTTCTTCTGGTAAGGGGGATTGAACTCAGGACCTTCCACTTACCAGGTAAGCTCTTAAGCCACTGAGCTGTCTCTCCACCTTGTGTCACTACACCTCACTGTTGCAGGCAGCCGAGTTAGACAGAAATATCACAGGCAGTCAGACAGGGCCAGTCCCTCAAGGAGACAAGATGGAAGACAAGGTGACTTTCCAACTTGGAAGAGACAGACACTCCCATATGGGCCACACCTCAAGACCAAGACAAAAAGAGGAAGCACAGCTACATACTTCCCTAGGGATGGGCATTAGGGATTGATATTCTAAATAGTATCAGTCAACTTGAAAGAGCCCAAATGAGTCACTAGCCCAACCCCCAACAGGAAGAGACCCTGTTCCCTATTCATGCCTGCTTGCTAAGTCACTCGCTTTCCCATTTGATACTGGACTTAATCAGTTTTACCTGAACAAGGGTGCTTGTAATCCCATTGGTTGACCATAGTTTTGTCCCACCTCCTGCCCACCTAAGCGAGTTCCCATTCTCTCTACCTTAGCCCCACATGGTTTTACACTATAAAAATCCCTGGAAGAGACAGCTTCCCAGGGAACTACCTGCTCGGGCCCCCCTTCTGTCCCTCTTTTGGACAGGAGCTTTCTTTCTCTCAATAAATATATTCTGCTCAAAACCTCTGTTTGTTTCTAAAATTCATTCTTCGGCTTTAGAGAACACGAACTCGTGCAGGTCAGGTCCAGAGATCGTTTTTCTCTATGTCGTTTGGAGGTTCCTTGTAGGTTTGGAGGTCACCCACCCGAGACCAGTTTTTCTCCCTGTATCATCACCATGTGAAAATGTTTCATTTTACAATCAGAAGATAATAATTAAATTTAAGGGTCAAAGAAAATGTGTTTCCACATAAAGATGTGCAAATTCTTGTAAAATTTCTTTTTTTGTTTTCAGATTACATCTCTTTTATTTTATTTTATTTTATTTTTGCAGTACCAGGGACGGAACTTGGGACCTTGTGCTTGCCAGGCAATGCTTATGCTGAGCTATCTCCCCAGTCCCTACATCCCTTTTCTTTATTTAAAAAAAAATTTAAAGAGAAAAAAAAAAAGAACAAAGACAACAAACAATAAAAATGATACAGAATTTCAAAACAATAGGAAATTAACAATGGTTGTTATAGTACATATTATTATCATCAGATTTGTGGCTCTGATTACCAGGTGCATGCAAGATCGTTCAAACTAAAAATTTTCTTTAACAGTTGAGGACACCCACAAAGACAAAAGTACCCACTGCTTTTGATTGGCGTGTCTTCAGTCACATCCCCCCCAAGAGTTCCTGGGGAGAGGGTGTGGACCCTCCAGGCTATTCTGATGCTTAGTAGCAATGCTAGGGGTGGAACTCAAGGTCTTTGTCCTCCTTGAGCTCTATACTAATGAACTGTTAACACTAGCTCTATTTGCATCTCAGGGAGAGGCACTTTGGGGTAAGTCAGGATTTTTGTTGTTGTTTTTTGTATTGGGCACGGAACAAAGGCTCTCCAACACAGGCTGTACCACCGAGTTACAAGCCCACCCCAGGTTTCATTTCTTTCTTTATTTAAATTTATGTATTTTGTACAGGGTCTCACTATGCAGCTTGGACTCCGAGTGATCCTCTTGTTTTCAGCCTCCCTAGCACTGGGATTACAGGTCTGTGCCACCCCTGGTCCCTGTGCTTGCCAGAGCAGGTCTAAGGTTTTATTTTGAGACAAGTTCTGGCTAAATTGCTGAAGCTGGTCTCGAATTCAAAATACTTCTGCCTCAGCCTTCGCAGTGCTAGGGCTAGGGATGTGCACCACCACCTCCAGCTATGGCTGAGGGTCTTGTCTTTTTTTTTTTTTCTGACCAGCCCAGCTGCCACTCCCTGGGGATTGGCTGAACATCAAGCGGTGGGTGGTGAGCAGAGTGGTGGAAACTGTGGAGCCAGGGACTCTCTCCTGGAGTTGTGCAGGTTGTGGGCCGGGTAGCAGAGTGGGAAGTTGTTAAAAATGGCACCAGGTGCCTGTTTACTTTTCTTTTAGTAACAGAATTACCTCTTTACAAACATAGAGTACAAGGACGCAGCAAAGTGTCTCACAGTTATGGTTACTTTTTAGTAAAGGGACAGGAAGGCTTCACCTTTTTTCAATTTTTTTTATTTTTTGGCAGAACCGATGATTGAAGTCAGGCCCTTGCGCTTGCCAGGCAAGCGCTTATTCTACTGAGCCATCTCCCTGGCCCCTTCTTTCACTTTAAAGCAGACGGTTTTATCCTTAGAATTTCGCTTTTGCTAGTAGTGGAGACTAAACCCACGGAGTCGCACTCCCGGCTCCCTCGTTTTGAAGTCACATACAGAAACACGTGGAAGCCAGGACCCTATCTTTTCTCTTTGTGTCCCAGGCCTGGCAACCCTCCACCTCCCAGTCCCATCTGGCACTCTGTGAGCCTGGGGCCTCTGCACCCAGCTGCTAAGCGCAGCTCCTCCCTGCGGGCGGGGCCAGAACTGGAGGGAGCAGAGCTGTGGGACAGCCTCAATTTCCCCGTGGTGATGCGTCTCAGGTCGTCCTGGGGACTGGAGATGGGGCATCTCCTACAGTTACAGAGTCCTTGTGGTATTTGAGAAGTCTAGTCCTAACCCCTCCTGGTACACTTCCAGGTAATTTAACGTTTCCCATGGCGCCTGAAGAGTCGGAACTGATTTTTACAAGTCATAGGATGCCTGGCGGTCTTGGTCACTAATGCGTATCCAGGTGTAAAGGCGTGCGAGCACATAGTAGGCACCCAGTGGGATGACCGATTCATCAAGGTGACTTTAACGGACTGCTGGGCACCTCCCCAGGGAGGGGTACAAAACCTATCACCAAATAATAAGACCCCCTCATGCACGGCCTCCTATACCCTGTAATTTGGATCTCCAGGAATCGCCTTTGTTGTGGGCAACCAACCACAGGCAAAGCGAGCACCTGCTTCTCCATCGGGTCCTCGCGGAAGGACCCCAGGCTGCCGCGACCCTGGCTGCCGTTCAGGGTTCTTGTTTTATTTTCTCTTGAGCTGGGGGACCCTCAGGTGCCTTCTGCGTCCGAAGCCAGGGTCCGCCCCGGCGCTTCACAGTCATGGTGAAAAGCGTCCCTAGTGCCCCACACCCCGACCAGGGTCAGCAGTCCTTGTCTCGTCCCCTCGGACCCGGCGGAGGGACTAGGATTTCGCTAAGGCCCTCGCCCGACACCCCTAAGCCCTCCGAGGTAGTCGCCCAAGTGGCGGCCTTCGCCCGGCCACCCCGGCTTCCGTCTCGGGGCCACCTTCTCCCTCAGGGCTGGGTACCCACAAGCCTGCTCCCCGCCAGCCGGCAGTGCGCCCCTCACCAGCCCGCGCTCAGGCAGCCGCGCCCTCACCCCTGGCCGACCCCAGGAGCCTCGCTCGCCCGCCCCGCCCGCGGAGCAGCCCAGCTCCCAGCGCGCCCCGGCGGCTCCACCCTCCCGGCGGGGCCGCAGCCATCTGGGGCCCCTGCCAGTAGCGTTTGCGCTGGGGCCCGCGCCGAGCGTGCGCGGGGGAGGCAGCGGTGCGCGGGGATCCGGCCGTCCCACCGGGCGGTCCCCTCCAGCCGCAGCTGAGCGCCCGGCGCTGGGATGCCCCGAGGGGGCGGTGGCCGGGAGCCGAGCACTGCCGGGAGCGCTTCGCGGCGGACGTGGGCGCCCCTCGCCACCTCGGCGACCCTTTGGGAGCCGGGACGCGAGTCCCCGAGGCAGCGGCGCGGGTCTGCGAGGGCAGCGAGGTTCGCACCCCTAATGTCCGGAGCTGGTGCGGGGCGCGGACTGGTCGCCGCGCGCCTTTCCCCCCTCCAGCCCCCCGCGAGCTGGCAGGAGGAAATAGTGCGCGGCCCCTTTAAATTTACCCAGGAGCCCTGAAAGGAGCCCCAGGGGCCCCAGACAGGAATCCCC